CCCTACTACAACTAAGACTGTGCACTTAGTCCTAAGAACTTGAACTGAAATGCAAAGAGCCAGAAACTGCAATCTCATGTAAGAAATTACCTTTACAAATGATAAGAGCTGAAAGAACTTTTATTTCTCTGCCCAAGTAGCTTCATTTCCTCAATGTTCTATTAAAGAAAGTCCGTAGAGGTCTGTATCTTTATTAGCAGGTCTTTGATCCTTGACAATCAACTGAAAACTATCAAAATCCAAACTGTGTTTAAATGTCTCAGAGGTATATTTACAAGTACTTTCTCAGTTTTATTCTTTCTTTATTAAGCAAGTGATACTGCCCAGAAAAGACATATGGTCCTGTCCTGCCTTTGCCACTGCAAAAGAAACATGTTTTGGTTTGGGGGTTTTTTTCTGAAAAAAATCAAGAACATATCTGTGTTTCCTAAATGGGATCACAATTAATCTTTTTCTCATTGGATCTATGTTTATTCTCTGACACCACAATGATCTCTAATGCGACAGTTTACTTTGAAGGGTAACAATGGAAACAAACTCCTAAGAAACAGTCTCTTCTTCCTGAAAAACTACTAAGGAATGAGAAATTATAAAATATTTTATACCTTTTAAATTGGGAATACCGCAGATTCTTAGAGCAGAGGGAAATATTAAGTATTAGCACTACACTTACACACACAAAAAAAAAAAAGATTGCGTTAGTTCTACTGCAGATGATAAAGGAATTTCACTATTTATCAGATAACCAAATCATTCTTGAAAGACTGAATAATTTCACAAATAAAAAGTCACTGATTCTTCAATAATTGTGACCAAAACGTACATCTGTACTGTAAACATATATAAGCCCTGCTATTTGACAGTGGCAACTATTCTCTTCCTAGAGGACATATTAATATTCTACTATCTTTTATGCTTGGCACATAACTATGTAAGACAAGCACAGTCAATGGTATTTTAGTTTTCTTTAAACCATAGAATTCTGGTGTTGGATAACAGGGAAGGACTAGGAGAGGTCAACAGTAAGGGAATGTACCTGTGGACCACCCAGCTGGAAGCCCTGCAAGCCCCTGTAACAGCAGAGTACTTGGTGAAGGTATGCGTCAACTTCCAGGTGGGTACCACGGATGATAAATCAGTGACGGTCCAGAAGAGTATTTCTATCTCCAAAGATGAAAATTGGCTCCAACCTGGCAATCTCGTTACATTTTTTTCCTATGGCCCACCATCCATTTGATCTTTGCATGGGTAGGGGCATTTTTCTGGATCTGCCAGATCCCAGCACAGTCAGTCCCAGGTCCTGTACGAAAGGTCAGGCCCTATCAAGGTGAGATGAAAGAGCCTTTTCAACAGAGAGTGGGAAGGACTACTTTCATCTCAGAAACATAAGGTTTGCAGGGAAAATGCAGCAACAGGTATGCTTATTTTTTGATTAAGAGTAATTCTGAATTCACCTTGGGAAATAATTCTGTATGGATCCACATGGACACCTTCACCTGAGAGAATGTCATGCAAGGAGGAGATCCACTTTACCCTGGCTTAGCTACTTCCCTGTTTTCCTGTTGGAAGCAACTGCAGTCTAGTTTTTGCAAAAAGATGGAAGAGCAAGCGAGACTCTATGCCTCAAACAATGGTCCAAAAAGCATTTGGAGAACCAAGCTCAAGTTCTTGTTTGGAACTGAATCCACAACACTGAATTAATACAAAAGAAAATATTAAGTCAGTTCTCAGCCTAGGTATAGATTCCTGCCAGTGCAAGGCTCCCAGGTCAACTGCTTCCTGGCTGGTGGAGAGCAGCCTCAGGCTACCCCTGGGTCTCCCACAGCACACTGCCCTGCTGTCCTTTACCACCAGCCAACAAGCATATGGGAAACTGACGCAGAAGGCCTGCAGAAGGGATGCACCCATCACAACTGACCTAGATGAAAGAGGAAGATGCAAGGGTATTATTAAAAAAGGACAGACGGTGAACGGATTTCTCCACATAACCTGGAGGATACCCTGCTTCTAAAGAAAGGCTAGAAGGTATCTGCCTTCACACTTAGCACAACCAGGCAAAACGTAAGTATATGCTGGCATTTGTCTTGGGATGAACATGCAGGAATTCACTGTGGTAACAGGATTAAATTCCAGCTGTAACATTAGGTTGTCATGATCTGCAATTTGTCAAAAGGTAGTAAGTCTTGGCATCTGGTAATGATTTCTGTGGCCTGAACCACAACGAGAAGTGATTTTTGCTCATTCATTCTCTGACACATGCACATGAATAGACTGGAGACTCAGTCTCTTGATGGTTCCTTTACCGGTCAGCTGTCCCACGTATAAACATAGGCACAATGGTCTCAGGTGGGCAACTATCCAGCCAATGCACTGGTAAACACTATTGTAGCAGCAGAAAGTATGAAGGGAAAGTTTATTTTTTGCAATGGTGTCCATATACAGCTAACTTCACCCTTTTAAACAAGAATGTGTGGATAAAGGTGTTGAGTCCTCTTACACTGTGTCAGTAACCTGCCTAGGTTGCTTGCTCTAAACTCTTTCTCTCTGAGGCAAAAGCGAATGAGTTCTGTGGTTCCCAGGGTTACCAAAGAGTCAACTTCCTTCAAGACAGATTTGTACAGGGTGGGTCTCCAAAACTACTCATAATGGGATGTGGAGGACAGGAGTGGGACTGCTAGAGAACAGAAAAGCAAACTGGATCAAGTAACTTGTGGCAAGTGTCTAAAACCCAGAATGATCCCTTGCCAAGTTGGATGGAAGAGAGAGAACATGTTTCCAGAAGTGAGAGATGGAGAAGCAGATGAAACCAGCTGAATGGGGTATTTGCACTCTTTGAGAATGTTTTCAAGACTGCTGACAAGAAGACAATGAGGGGGTAAGAGCTGGCAATGACACCTGTAGTCTATGCCAGTGATGACAGTATCATCCCTTGTGTTCTTGTTGCTGGAACAGATTCTAGGTGTGGAACACAAGAAAAGTGGCCACTGTACCAAGCCAAACAGGCAGATCTGCAACTTGTAAGTAGCCATAAAAGATTCAAAGCAGGCTAAGAATAGTTCTGGAATCCTTGGATGCTGAGTGTCCCTGCACTAAACACAAAGGAGATGTCAGAAATTGCCAAACAGGATAGCAACAATCTGCATCCAAGTCTCCCTTGGAAGACATGGGATGGGATTCTGCAAAGGAGACCAGCTATCCCTAAGTTTGTCTTCATAGCTAGAGAGCTGGTGACTCACCAAACAGCTGAAATGAACACACACTTAACCAATCAAAATTATTTAGGTACTTCAGACCTACAGTGTGAGAGCATGACTGCTCAGATTTCTCTTCACTGCTGAAAGAATCAAGGAAGATGGAGCGAGATGGATGATGAGAAAGTTAGTGGCTCTTAAGAATACTGATGTTTCCTTTATAGGTGGAGAAAAAGAATGTATCAAAAGATCTTGTTATGATCCAAAATAGTTTCATTAACTCTACGTACCACATTAAATTACAACCGTTAGCAGTTACAATTTCCTCCCTGAATGCAAATTGGACAAGACTTCAAATTCGCTTTAAGAGATTTAGAAAGACTCTCAAACGCACAAACCTGACCATCCTAAAATCTTCATTTCCAGCCAATAGTATCCAGAAGGTGATGTGTACCAGTTTCTCTGGCATCTCTTAACTGTAAGGTTCAGAATAAAAAAAATGAAAGGCAATCTAAATTTTCTTGTTGAAACAGGCTCCAGGACTTGCTGCTGCCACTCAGGGTTCAATACTCCTGAAAAGAAGAGTGTAAAGAGCTATGCTGAATCAGTGCCTCCTCACCTTCTCCCTTCAAACTAAGGCACATTCTTCTTCAAAGATGGTATGTAATAGACACTTTCTGATGGTTGAGTTGCTGCAAGAGGTGGGGAATACACTGAAGAATCCTTCTTAAAACAAATGGTAGGACTGAAGGACCTTATAAAGCTCTTCCGGCTGACTAGAATGTTGTCTCTGTATCAGGTGCGTACTATGTCAGTTAGCAATCTTGAACGCAGACAAGAATGGAAATAAGGGCTAATTCAGCATCCACAGAATCCTTGGCATTAAGTAAAAAAAAAAAAAAAAAAAAAAAGCTGTCTTTCATGTCAATACTGGAGTTGCATTTGGCAAGCCCAGGGGAGAGGCAGAAGGACATTTCCGAGCACCACAATCAGTGCCATTGACTGAAGCCAGACAGGACAAAAACACGATTTTGAGAGTGTTTTCCTTGCTTTTTTTTCAGTAGGCATCAGTGGTAGAGCTGTCAGCACTAATACTGGAGCACATCATTTAGGTGACTTGAGCTTCCACAACAGATTCTCAAGTGGCCAAACCAGAACTGCGAAGGGAACTAAAACAACATCATCTTTTCACCAGTCCTTGAGAAGTGTGATGTCTGGCACTCCTGAGTGCTACCTAATGGTAAAGATGGGGAGGCATACTCTGGGATGCCACTCCTGCTTACATACTAGGAAACAGCTAAGTTCCGGGGCCCACCTCAACCAGTTTTGAGGTTTTTAGCAGAAATATCTAGAATTTCAACTCCTTCTGCCTGCATCTGGGGAGTTCAGATAAAACCCAGCAAACTCAGTACTTTCCTATCCCCCCTCGCCTCCACTGAGGCTATATAAACACTGGTTATGCAGCTCAGTTAAGCAGGATCATATGCTTCAAGTGACAGACAGATGGAAGGTTATTTTTGAAGAAATCATCAGAATATAAAAACTTTAACAGAGGAAGGCAAACATGAGAAGGAAAATGCACGTTAGAGGCCTTTTTAAACAATGAGAAGCACAGCATCAATATAGATGCAACCATCAAAAAGAATAGTAGCACATACAATTCTGAGTAACAACTGCATAGTATTAATCAGGCAGACCGTCAGTTCTTCACTACAATGAACAGTTTTCAGCATACAAACATTACAGTCTAAAATTAAATGAAAAATAAACATTCTATATTGTATTACAAGAACATATTCTAAATCATACCTCAGGTGCCAGGTATTCTGGAGTACCACAGAATGTTTTCATAGTTGCTGCGTCTGTGATGCCTTCTTTGCAAAGTCCAAAATCTGTAATTTTTATGTGTCCATCTTTATCCAACATTAGATTTTCTAACTGTGTATTGGGGAAAAAAGCATTCCCTTAGTATTTCTTAATAGGACAGGCTGATACATTACATCAATTTTGTAAAAAATATACACAGTTATTGCTTGCAATAGAATGTAATTTGTTATTTTTATTAGCAGTATTTTAAATACAGACAGAACTAAAAACAAGTAAAACATACTTGTGAAGAAATTTTCTCAACAGAAAAAGTCTTTTTTTCTAATTATACGGTGTGTAGTGAAAATACCAACGAAGAACAATCATAGCCCTGTCTTCCTAAGTCTGCATAAAGCCTGAAATACAATTCAAAGGTATGTATTGTCTATTGAGTTTGTCATATAAAGAAATGCAAAGCAGATGACACCAGCAATAGAAGATTAATAACGTCAAATTCCTCTTTCCTTATTATTTAGTAGAATTTAAATCAAAAATCACGACCTATCATTCCTTGACCAGAGAATTCCCCATTTTTCCAAGATGTCACAGCATTTCATGCTATTACAGTAGATTCTGCTACAAACAGGTAACTCAGTGTTTTGTTTTCTGCCTCCCTGAGCAGAACTTGCCTACCATTGCCGCCTCCTCCTCAGTTCCTGTACAAAGCAGTCCATGAACGCACTCCACTAATGCATGAGTATAACAGGAAAGCACAATTTCCCATACAAGAAATTAAATGCTTATCACAGAAATAAAACTGTCTCGTTGTGTATACTCCCACATAAGTTAGAAAATGTTCTTGTTGAAAGCAGAGGAGATTTTTCCATAGAACATGGTCATACTGTGTCACAGGGTATCTGGAGCTTTAGGCAACAGAGGACAGACAGCTGTATATGTAGGCAAATCTAAGACAAACTACATTCCAGTATTATGAATCTTTCCCAAGATACAAAAGACAAAACAATTTTTAAACTAAGGCTGAAATTCTTTTCTTATTGAAGTATTCTGAATTGTTTTAAATGTTTTCAAATCATACAAGAACATAACTCCTCAGTGAGCTAAAGAGAATGCAGTCACATTGTCCCAATTCCCCATTTCCCTTGTTTAGGGACATTGAGAATTGTATTTGAGATTTATGTTGAAATCCAAGTTAAGTTATAAGTGATGGGGGGGAAAAAAAAGGATCGGAAGTTCGAATCTCCTTCAAGTGCTATTGCTAAGGTATGCTGCTTCTTTTTTTAATCCAGTTAAAGTCAAGTAATGTACCCATCTATAGATTACCGTATCAAATGACTTCCTTCAGCACACACAGAACTTTAAACTGAACACAGATTTTTTTTTCCCCATTAACTCTGAATAGTTCAACTTTATAATTACTTTGCATTTGTCCCAATAGTCTCTGCAAAAACAAAAATTTGATTACTTTTTTTTTTCTTTTTTACCTTGAGATCACGGTACACAATCTTCCCAGAATGCAGATAGTCCAGCGCAGAGACAATTTCTGCACCATAGAAGCGTGTGCGGTCCTCTGAGAACACCCGCTCTCTCGACAAATGGAAAAACAGCTGCAGGGTAAACAGCAGGGACAGGATTGTAATAATTACTGATTTAGTGGGGGAAATTAACACAAACATAAAACACCTCTCATCACCATATTGTGATGATAGATAGTGTACTCTCAGTGGACACTCAGCACTCTTAGACAGCAGCTGGTTTATCTTTTCCAGGTTTCCAAAGGGAGAAAGCGAGCTGTTAAATCAGCGTTTTAATCAATATACCAATCTTGTTTAAGGCATTCTGCTTGCTACTCATTTAACCTTCAGTTACCAAAGGAAAAAAAAAAAAAAGTATGCAGCAGCATTGTCATTCGGTAGTTCTCCCTCTACCACTTCCTCGGATTTTTCTTTTAAGCCACTGACAAATACCACTAAAATACCCAGATTCTGGTTCCGCCTTAAGTTTTCCAGTAATTTAGTAACTTCCCCTTGAACTGAAAAAAGTCTGGTTCTTCAGTAGACCTTGACTGAACAGGTGAACTGGCATTTTTCAAAAACAGCACATTCATACTGCTAGCAATATCACAGTCACTAGAAAAAGCAAACCAACAACTGCTTAGGGCTTATAAAAACAAATCTATGTATTTAGTGTATTTCTTTGCTATAAACATTTCTTCAGAAGTTTTGTCTCTTCTTTAATACTTTATAAGTAACAGCACTTTGCAGATACTTTTTCAACCTTCAGTGAAAAATATTAGTCATTACGTATTACCAGTAACTCCAGCTGCAATGAAAAAGCATAAGGTGCAGTTCTGTAAGGTTCTCGGCATCTTATGGGATACAACATGACCCCCAGAACCTGGAACAACACCCTAAAAAGCAGAATTCGGTTATTTAACTCAAATGCTCTCTAAGATGGCTAGTTTTGTTTACTTTGTTAAGAAAGCTTGGGAGAGTCCTCAGGCAAAGATTGGCGAGTATGTTTCTGTACTCTGCTTAAGACCAAATGGGCCACCTGCCTTACTCCTTCCAGTTAGGGTGTTTTTGGCTTTACCACAAGGGCCAACAATCAGCAAAACAGAAATACAGAAAATATGATCATTTATAAATTAAATCTAGAGAAGGAAATCCACAACAACAACGTGGTTTCTTTATTTTCACTGCTAAAAATATCAAGTAGATGAGAATTCCAAAATGGCAAAGTAAGTACAAAAAAAACCACCAAAACCAACCAACCAAAAACCCAATAACGTGCTTAATCTGTCACTACCACATCCCACTTTACACCTGTAGGAAGTCTCCACTGCTCGCACAGAACAGTGTTAAGAATTATTGCAGCTATTTTCAAGCTTATGGACTTCTCAAAATGTAATGAAAAAGTCAATCCTATAAAACAACTGGAAGTCAACTTCTTTCCTGACAGTGGTACTTCAAAAAATGTGTACTACTCCCTTCCGAACCTAAACATACTTCCCAGTGAAATGAGCCTTTTGGCACCATATATTTGTACAAGCAGAGATTTCACAGAAAACAGAAACTGTAGTATGATTTAAAGAGATTATTTCATTTTTGTTCATTGTATCTGCATTTCTCTTTCAATTTCTTGTTGAATTCTCAAGACACCCTGTATAAAAATGGAATACCTGCATGACAAGGAGGATCATTATTTTGCAGGTATTTCAATTGCTCCTGCTGCTCATCTCCCTGTTCAAGCACCACCCCGGGGGGGACATCAGCCCTCCCTGTAGTAACCTGCCTTCTGCACCAACCGCTGCTTCATGGCGAACGCAAACACAAGACCCACACAGACTAAGCAACTAAGCTGGCCTTCACAAAGTGCCTCACCTATTATAAAATGGGGAAAAGAACAAATAATTGTCTCAATTTGTGGTGTCTTTCCCCCACATTTTTGCAAGATTTACATAGGAAACAAATACCGCTAAGTATATCTTCATTTAAATAAGGCAAAATACAAACTTTATGTTGTTTATGCATTTATGTCTGTTTTGTGTTCTCTTTCATACTGAATGAGCTGTCACTCATTTTTAAGAGTTTTATTTGTTTTGATGGAGTCAAAGTAATTCAAAATAAAGGCCAAGTTTCAGATCACTTTTTAACATGTACAAATAGCAAACACATTCAAAAAATTTATAACCTCCAGTTAGCTCTACATTCATATCTACGCCAAAGGACTATCGCAATTTTCTGTCAGAGAGACTAATCCAGTAGCTGAGCAGCAAAGCCTTAGAAAATTCCAAACCCTCAGGATACTTGTCAGCAACAGATGTATTCGTTTCTGTAAAAAGTGTCCCAGTTTGAATCTGAGAGTTGATAACCTCACAAGTTAACATGAAAATTTATTTTCTTTAGTGTTTATTTCCAACAAAATAGTCTTGATACTAATGCAAAATACTAACTTCAAAGTAAAACGACCAGCCAGAGCCATCTACAACAGTTCTGTGTTTGCCAAAGAAACTATGAGTTCCCAAGTCAGTTTATTTTAACGTTATATATGACACTACAGTCACTCTTTATAAGCATTCTTCTTATATTACTATATTAACATATTACTATAGCACCTAACAGGGTTGTCATCAAACCATACATGGTAGTTTTGAACGAAGAATGTACATTTAGGTATAAAAATGCATGTTGAAAGTGAATTCATACACTCACATATACACTAAAGATGCTAAAGCTAATTTTAAAATTATAATAAAAAAAACCTAATTCAGTGAGATTACAGCATTATTTTCAGCTGATTATTTAGTTGGTTCACTATTTTGGAATAACTGTGCCATCAGGCTCTATTTACAATTGTCAGAACATGAAGATTAGATTTACTAAGTCAGAGAAGGAAAAGAAGAAATCTGATGCAAGGTTATGAAAAAAGCTTCCAACATTTTCACTATTTATTCATTTACAGCTATTAAATACGTGCTATAAAGTCATTGGAATTACAACAGAAATAGCTTTGGCACAAAGCAAGCCATTTTGCACATAACATTTTTGATGGCATACATGAGGGTGCTGCAGTTACAGCGAGGACTGGAGCTATAAATTTCCTGGTATGCCTTTATTTAAAAACTGAACAATAATGTTGCCATGGGGCTTCTTCCTAATAAAAAATTTTAATGGAAATATTTTAACTAACAAAAACAAAGATAAAAGTATATTCAACTGCAGATCCAAGCTTGCCAAACACATAAAAGACACAACCTTTTATCAGTTGATATGTTAAACTTCTACACATACTAGTGACCTATTTAGCATGTTCAAAGTTGTATGACCGGCTCTTGCTGCTGTATATTGAGTTGCTCAGCTCTGCCGTTAAACACATTTTATATTTGACTGCGATTTGACTCTCTTGCAAAGCATTTGCAGTAGCAGCCTTAAATTTTGAATAATTTGTTTATTGTTTCGGACTCTATATTGCTTCTAGGCACATTCTATACCCAAAGAAATACAGCACCCGTATCTTGGACTATCATAATTTTAGGCTAAGGAACATTCTCTCATTTACTTAGAGTTTAGGAAAACAAAACAGGGCACAACTAAGATGAAAATGACAAAGCTTACAACAATATTCAGCTATTTTTCATTAGGTAGGTTGTAAAATCCTCTGTCTTTTTTTCCAGACAGCAATAGCACTTGTTCAATTACAACAAACCATTTAGTTCTCTCTTGCCTAATGAATTGAAGTAAGATCCATGGAAAAAAAAAAGCCAAGCGGAACAGAGATTCAGAATTCTGGTGTGGAGAAACCATCTGAACAAATTTTAGAGTCTAATTTTATTATACAGATAATTACCAATTACGTTTGTTACAAAGTACAGAATTTGGCATTATTCTGAAAGTGCAAAGCAAGGAAGTTAATCAACTTATTAGTCAGCTAAATCAGTGTACTCTGCAGAGTAATAGATTTCATTCCTAAAGCTTTTCAGTCTTTAAAGCAAAATACTGGAAATAAAAAATGAGAAATGTACCCTCCAAAAGTACTCCCCAACAATGAAGTGCCATTCCTAGAATATAGGGGGTTTTATACCACAGTTTATACCATTCTGTGTGGCCTGGAAGTTGGGGGAACACTGTAATGTACTACTAACGTACTGCAATCACATAGTTCTCAAAATTATAGGGCTTACAAAAGGAACAGTAGGCAAATCAATACTAGCAGGAAAACCACCGATATGGCCTTACACCTTTTTTTCAAAATGCTTATAGGACAAGGACATCAAACAATGCACAAGATGTGTTTTTCTGTACTTACTGATAGTTTTACTCATTTAAAAATATTTACACGAGTATTCTATATGTTGAACCAAAGTAAAGAACACAGTTTATCATGCACTACTGCATGTACTTTTTTACCACACATTCATAAAATATGCCATTTCAAAGTCTTGATAATGGAATTTGGTCATCTCAACTAAGCCAGATGAATATTTTTTTCTACAATCAAATTTCAATGTCTTAATGCTACTTTAATGTAATTCTTTCAGTATAAAGGAGGTGTTGAGAAGTCATCACAATGTTAGAAGTATCCTTCTAGCTCTACACTGCAACATAGTTTATGATCAACAGATATTGCTAAACATTTCATCCCCAGATCCCAACAGCAACACTAAAAAAAGACTTTAAGATTAGGCCTTTAAGATTAGGCCCTTAAGCAGCAGAAAATTAACTGTAGAAGTTGTCAGTATAAGGAAAACATATTCAATATTTCCATCTGAATAATCTGCTTGAAAAAATCCTCTAATCTTTTGCTTTAATATATTTACCTACTGAATATGTTGGGAGTTTTTTTAAAGGAAGTCAAAAGAGAAATCTATACGGTAATAGTTTGGACGTTGTAAAAAAGCACACATGTAGACCAGTAAAACTGATGCAGTCACATTTGCATTATAACGTGTTCCCTTATTAACTGAGCCTAACTAATCTGAAGTTACATAGGCAAGGTAAGGCAAAGATAAATTGCTACTATTCTGGCAGGATATTAAATTCAGCATGGATTAAGATTTTTAAGCGGTAGAGAGATTCTTGTTTAGAATCACTTAAACACCATTCCTTCTCCTCCAGAATGAAATTCAGTGAGCCCTTCCTTGGCTTTTCCTTCCTAACCATAGGAAAAGATACCGAAGACTCCTAGTACTGACTAACCGTTTTATCACTGTAGTAGGACAGAAGCCTAGACTGTGGCATTTTCTTGCTTCTACCTGGACAAGAGTCAAGAACTAATTTCAAGAACTCATTCGTTCGGAGATCTGTTTAGGTAATGTGCTCCTGAAAGACATAATCCATGAAAATTACCAAGCAATGGACTCAGGCACAACCGTTCGACTAAGAAGAAATCTTTAACCTACAGGAATTTTAATTGGAAACACATTGAAGGTAGTACAGCTCTGGAGAGAATCAAAAGCAACATGGTACCGCTACAGTCAATTTCCCACTGGAAGGATATATTTAAAAGGTGAGTTTCCAACATCTTCAACAATGAGAAACCATTGTAAGGAAAGGAAACTTTCCTGGAACAGAGAGAACTATGGAGGGAAGCAGCAAAAGAAAAAAGACTCTACTGTGTAGGAGATACGCTTACAAATGGCTAAAACGCTGGCTAAACTTTGTGCAACTTACCTTCAGTAGTTCTGAGATACTAACAAGGCTATTTTTACAAATATGAAGACCTCTGTATTTCTTAGCAGACAGTGACTGAAGTCTGAAATTCACAGGAAAATCTGGTAAGATTAAAGATTTTCCTATTAAAAAGGACAGTTTGTCCAACTTACTAGTCCAGATCTCTAGTCAAAGAGAAGCACATAAGCAAATCAAGAGAGTTTCTTTAAAGAAAACTGCCTATTCTGAAAGGTCATTATTTCCCACTGTGGCAAAAATTCTGGTTAGCTTCACTGAATTAGGGAAGTATCAGCAAAGAACATGAGCAACACCGACAAACAAGAGCATCATACCTGGAAAAAAGCAACCCACTCTTGGCAAAGTGCACTGCAATTACTCAAATCCCAATAAGCAGAAGCAGGCTACCACCAAGGAACCCACGCCACAAGATGGTTGCAGCAGTGGCCACAAAGGTGCTCCACCCACGGCACAGGAATGCAAGATATAAGCCTGATCAAAACATAGTGTCAGAGTATCCTCAATCATAGGAAAGGAGTTGAAAACATTCTTGTGGGCTCTGCTCTGCATTCAAATAGGACAGAAAGGTATCTTTCAAAAAGACAAGTATCTAAATAATAGGCTGATGTTAAAAATGTACTTTCAAAGGGCATCCCCTAAGATTACAGAAATGCAAGAAAGTCTTACACAGAGTAAACTAAGAATTAGCTAGTTTATAAGGCATCACTTTTAAGACTCATTGCACACAGCACTGACTTAATATTGGTGACACAAGTTCAACGTCATAAGCCAGCTGAGTGTCCAAGAGAATGCCGTTATCCCATTACTGCAGAGGGAGACTTTTGTGTCTAGTTCAACTAGCCAAAAGAGTTCTGCGCCTGTGATGTCCAGAACTGGGTTTATACATATGGAGTCAAACAAGCCATCCTCCCATATGGGAACGCTACAGCACCATCTTTAGCCGTGGCTGGTAGAGGATGGCCATGGACCAGTTAGTATGTAAACGGGCCTCAGACAGGGCCTAGAAATCGTCAGAGCGAGGAACGTGTGACAGGCACTCTGCGGGTGCCCAGGCCTTAGGGTTATAGCTGGAGACAGTTTGATTGTAGGACAGCACAGCAAAAAAGATAGTGCAAAGCATGGTATCGTGCTGCAGCAATTCCTGAAAGAAGAAACAGTTTTCTAATAAAAAAAGCCAGTGGAAACACTTAGTCCTTTAACATTATTATGCAGCATATAGGAGACAAAGTAAGGAAACCCCCCCTAGTTCACGCTGTAACGAGATACAGTCTGAATAGCAAACAGCACCTAAAAGGTAGATAAAAGCCCAGTTCTTAGACTGCAGTTCTCTTTAATCCCATTTGACAGGTATAGTTTTTGATATTCCATTCTTCAGTAAACAGCTGGAGGACAGCAACAGCTTCAAGGCTAATGACACTCTAAGAAGTTTAGCACTTAGGTTGAAACTTCCAGAGTACGCAGCAAGTGAAAGGGACAGAAGTAACAAAAAATACGGATGCTCCACTCTTTTCTCATAGGTATTTGCAATGGCTATAGCAAAGAAGAGAGCACACATTTCTCATTAGGACAAAAGTAAGCCTAGTCAACGCTATTTTTGCTTGTTTGCACTAGATTATGATCGTTTCATGGCAGAACAGGCTATAATATGCTTAAAGAAAAAACAATAAGCAAGGCATTTGCAATTATTTCTCTACCATGGCATTATCTTTCACGATACAACGGTCTAATTTTTCAAGAACAGGAAATACTTTTGACAGCATAGTTATAAAACACATCTACATTTTTTAAAAATGAAAGTTTTTAAAATTAAAAAAACCCAGACTTCAAAGATACCAGAAAGCAAAAAAGGTAAGAAAAATTATATTCTTTAAAGTGTAACCCAGTGACAGCATTACCATTACAAGTGCAGAACATCTTTTTTAAACTTACCTCTCCTCCGTTAACATACTCCATCACAAAACACAAACGATCCTTTGTCTGGAAGGAATATTTCAAGGACTTGCAAAGAAAACAGCAAAACCAAACCAATTATCATCTTGTATTAACCCAATTTCTTGCACTTAAACTGTAACAAAATTTAATTTTATCCTCTTAAGCAGACAATTCTGACTCGGTGAGAACTTCCAGAGTAAATAAAAGTGTAAGTCCCTATCTGGAGCTTGAGACAAATTAACACAAAAACCTTCATGTCTTCCCTCATCTCTGCCACATGGCCATTGATACAAAAACATCGTGCTTGTTATAATAAAATGCTAAAGAGTTACTAAAATACACAATTTTACACTGCATTTCTTTGCCATACCTGGTACCAGCTATTCTCACTCATCGTATTTTATGATGTCCACTTCCGCAATGCCCATGAACAGAGAGATTACCATATTCTTTTTAATTTCTCCCAAATGAAATCTTAAAACTGATCTTAATCTCCAGCCTGCTTCCATTTCCAAAGCAAGGACTCTAGTTTCACACACTATGCAATGTTAAAAACACTGACTGCCAAATTAATATATATCCATTTACGTATCATTTTAAAATTGTAACAAATGTTATTATCTTAATTAAAATTTTGACTTATCAATGTTGATTTGATCTTGCTTGGAAAATGACACTAAAGAAAATCTACAGACGCAGGCTTGGCCTAAAAGAAATGAAATGCAGTAGAACTACATGTAATAAAATCATAAAGAGACTCATGTGACTTAAATACTGCATGTCTCCTTAAAATATTTGTTTAATAGTATCAGAAAGATAGAAAGATACAACTGCAGTAACATGGTTGCATGATTTGATTAGAATTACACCTACTCCTGCTTACCTTTACACTCTAAGAAACTTTGGGGCATCTCATTTGTCTTAACTGAATTTCCTAGAATATTTCAGCCAAGCAATGTAAATGCAATCCTCTGCTTTCTAAAGGGTTTGTTTACACTTTTCTAAATAGGAAAGCTTCCATGTTATACTTTGATATTTTAATAAAAAGAGAAAGTAATTTTTCCCTATCTTAAACTGCATGTTAATTATATTTTGAAAGCAATGAAAAGATTTTCTAATATATTCTCAAATGAGAGTAATCAGAATTACTTCTACAGAAGAAAGGCAGTTGTAAAATTAAAACTATTAATCACAATTTGTCATGAATCTCAAAATTTTCATCTTCTTTTCAATACTTTCCTTCTATTAAGTATTAACCGTATGAAGATAGAGAAACTGAAGTAGTGGTGTTTGAGTTTTGTTGCTCCATAGGCTACTTATGTTGAACAGTGATTTTTATAATTTTACTGAATTCTTAATTAAGTTTTCTTGGTAAAAATTACTTGACACTGTGAAATCAAAAACTTTTATTAAAAAAGTGTTCACATACAAAAATCACAAAAATTGCACAACAGTTACGTTCTACAGTTTAATTTGGTTTTGGTGTAGTTAAGCTTTACAAAATTATTAGAAACTTCATTTCTGAACTTTAAATACATATTCTGATAAAGGATATCGTAAACATCAGACATCTACTGCTTGTTTACCAATCATCATGAGAAAAATTTCAAAATTTGTTCGTAAATTATGTTCATAACGGAGTACCCATCATGTTGAAAATTCCCTGCTAATGTACTTAAAACTAATTCCTAATACTTACTGTTAAAAAAGGGTGCCTGGTGTTTTTCAATACTCTGCTTTCTGTAAGCGTATGAGCCACTTCATCCTGAGAAATAAAGAGTAGAAGAAGTAGGTCCGAATTAAGATACAAAATTGTTATTTAATTAATTAGGAGGAAAATGTCAACACTTTCAGAGAGAAAGCTACAGTACAACTTTGGAAAATGAACAAACTTGAAAAAAACATGAAAAATAATTCATGTTTTTTGAGAAAAGACTTTAAAGTAAACATAAGTTTGGCAAAATACAGTTTAACATATTTTATTTGATTTTCTTTTTCTTCTTTTCTTGCTTTAAAGTTAAATCTTTAACTTTATATCCAATGCAGGGCAGGAAGAAATGATAATATTGGATTTGATACTTTAAAAATATAGTTATCAAAACTTCACAGTTCTGGTATGAATCATCTGAATGACCTATCTACAGAGAGATTAAATCAATTTGCAAGAAACATACAGAGGTAGTGACTGACAGGTAACTATAAAACCTAGTCTAATCTAGCCTAAAGTTAAGTAAAGCCATTTTTTCTGGTTTTAAACGTTGGCTTGGTTTGGCGTTTGTTTTGTCTGTCTTTAAAGCCGTGTGGCCATACCAAATCCCCTCCCACGTCCACTCGGGCCGTCCTTGCGAGCCGGGCGAGCAGCGCTCCTTGGACGGGGCCCAAACTCCTTCCGCGAGGACACGGGCCTCGTCCCCGGGAGGTGGGAGATGTCCACACAACCCTCGCCCCATTTCCAGCCAGGTGCTGAGAAAGGGGCAATTCAGAGTGTCTTTAAAGCCGTGTGGCCATACCAAATCCCCTCCCACGTCCACTCGGGCCGTCCTTGCGAGCCGGGCGAGCAGCGCTCCTTGGACGGGGCCCAAACTCCTTCCGCGAGGACACGGGCCTCGTCCCCGGGAGGTGGGAGATGTCCACACAACCCTCGCCCCATTTCCAGCCAGGTGCTGAGAAAGGGGCAATTCAGAGAGAGACAGCGATGCTCTCCTCCTGTAATCCTGAATGGGGAAGACTAAAAGAACCCCTGTGCCAAAGGGAGAGACAGAAACTAGCCCGGCCCCCACGGGCGTTTGTGCCCCGGGCTCATCCCCTGCTCCCTCCACAGCC